TCCGCGACGGTTTGGGGTTGTTGCGGGGTGTCCTTAGTTGGCTGGTAGTTGGGGGTAGTTGGTTGGTCGTGGTTTGGAGTTTGCTCGGGTGGAGTAATTTGGTTTAACTTGGCTTCTAAATCAGTTAATAATTGGTGATTAGTATCTGAGTTTTCTTCCCAAACAATTTTTTCGGCACTATCCGCGGGAGCGTCAGCCAGAGTTTTTAATGATTGAATAACTGGTTCCAATTCTTCTTTGGTGGCTCCGTCTTGGTTGAGAATTTCTTGGGCGTTAGTAATTATTTGCCGAATTTGGTCTAACTTAGCACTTCGAACTTGGTTGATTTCAGCAATTATTTCTTGCTTACGAGTAGTTCGTTGGGTATCGTTAGTGGCTAAATTAATCAGGGCGGACTGATAATCAGTTGATAATTCACTGCTGGAAATAACGGGTTTTTTATTCAGTTCGGTTTCAATGACCGTGATATCGGGTTGAACTTTGGCTATGCTAATTAAGTTTTGGAGGCGGTCGCGTTCCGCAGTAATATTAGTTCCGGTTAGAGTAGCAAAATTATTTTCTCAATTATTACCACAAATATCATTTATTCGTTCACTAATATTTAAGTTATTGTAATAATTTGTAACGGATTGAATGGCGGCAGTGCGGTCATGCTGGTCTTGGGCGGTTTGGTCTAATTGATTTTTTTTAGCATTTCTTTTATTTTTAATGGCCGTGTGGCTTTTGCTGGCTGGGACTTGGTTTTCAGTATAATTAATAGCCGCCGTTTCACTTATTAAATTATTTGGATTAGTTTCATTATCTATTCGTCTTATTATATCATTTACTTTATCTATTTCGTGCTCATTCATTACCGCCGCATTTAAATTAGTATCTCCGTGATAGTTCGGAACGATTGCCTCAGTGCCGTTTCAATTAAATTCGTTGGCTCCTCAGTGATTTTCGTGGACTTGGCAGGCGATGTTGGCGGGAATAGTGCTCTGTTGCCGGTAATCTAAAATTTGTTGGTCGGTTAAAGAGCATGGGTTAGTAGAAGCACCTTTGAAGTCTTTAATTCAAATTACTTTGTCTTGCTGAGTGCGGAGAACATTAACTAAATCTAAATATCGTCAGCCAGTCGGCAATTTATCGTTTCTACCATTTAAAATATTAATATCATTTTGCCGAAAATTATTCGGTAAATCAGTTAAAACATTTTTACTTTCAATATCGCTTTGTAAATCTTGGCTTAAATCTAAGAGATTTTTCCTAACTTTTTTGACATCAATATCGACCGCAATATTATAATCTTGGTTGGTTCTGCTATTTCTAATCAGAGTATTAGTTGGAATTACCCCCCCCCTAATTATTTTTGGATTAGTTCAACCATTATTGTAAACTTTTCTTTCCTCAGTGCCGTTTCCAGCCAAGCCAGTTTTTAATCACTCTTCCGCATTAGTATCAGAAATTCGTTGGTTATTGACTTTCCCAAACTTATCTTTAAAAGTGTCTAATATTCTTCTATCTAGGAAACTTTGGACTTCCGAACGACTTCACCTAGCTGGAACTTTATTTTCATCGTATTTATCACTATCAACTGTTATTTTCTGTAAATTAATTAAATTACCTGTTCCATTGATATTAGCTACTAATTCATCCAATTTATCAATTTCTTCAGCGTTATGTTCCAGCAATTTAACTCCGCTTATTATTCGCGAACGACTATGTTTGCCGCCCATATTAAATTCTTTATTTTTTCAATCCTTTTCACTCATAACTAAATAACCCTCTTTTTTTTGCCACTTATTAACATCTCAAACTATTTTGGCTTCGGCTACGGTTAAGTTACTATTATTTTGTCAGTCGTTTTGTCAAGTTGGTTCAGTAATTCCGTGAGTCGTGAAAAATTGTTGTCAGGAAATTTCTTGCTGCTGGACGATAATATCATCCGGGCTTTTGGCTAAATTAATTTTCTTTTTGTCATTGCCAGATAAAACCGAACTTCATGGATAATCCGGCAGAGCAGTTTCCGCGTTAGTATAAAGGTCTTCGGCACTTTTTATTGTTTCATAACCTTTTCATTTTGCTTTATTAGTCTTGCTTGTTATTTTATGTTGTTTAAAGAAATCATCTCAACTTTTCAAACTTTCATATTTATTTAAAATCGTTTGCGGCACTTGGTCGAGTGCTTGCTTGACTGATTCTAAAATTTCAGGGTTAGTAGTCGAAAAACTCTTTAAATTATCATAGTTAGAGCGGTCAAAAGCCGTAAGTTCAGCGGCGTCTCAGTCGTCCAAAGTTTCAGTTCCGCGAATAGTCCGCAGAGTAGTTAATAATCGGTGAGCGGCTTTTACTTTTTCCCGGGTTTCCAAGTTATCCGCTTCACTTCCCGCGACACTTTTGTCAAATAATCTGCTTTCCTTAGCACTTAAAGGTGGGTTTCAAGTGCCGCTTTTTCCGTGGGGATTTGTCAAGGCTGTTTGGCGAGCATCTTCTAACGCTTTTAAATCTTTAAGAGCATTAAGCAACTTCTCGGCTCGGTTGGGATTATCACTTTGACTATTAATGGCTTGGTAGGCTTGATTTTTGGTATCGGTTGACTTACTTTTTTTAAAATCATTCAAATTTGTTAAAGCAGGTTTATCCAAAACCCCGTTAGCAAGTTCACTTTCCCCACGTCTAACATAAATTAATAAAGTTCGGGTTTGTTGGATGGCAATAATAGTATCCAACTGCGGATTTTCGAAAATTGCTTGTTCGGTCGGAATTAATTTTGGGTTTCACGCAGTAACATCATCAAATTGTCAAATTTTCACCTTAATTCGGGTTGTTCGCACTGCTAAATTGTGAATTTTTCCTTCTAAATCTACTTCGATAAGGAGATTCTTGTGGAAATTAGAAACTTCTTTTCAATCACGGAAAGATTGTAATTTGTTTAACAGAATTTCGCATTCTTTTGGGGTGTCGACCGTCTGGCTATCTGCTATTGCTTTCGTAATTTTCACTCGGGCTTCTTCTTCACTCTTTTCGGCTATTAATTTCTTTTTCCTTTGGTTTCATTTATTAGTAAGGTTATTACGAAATTCGGGCTCAATTTTGTCTAAGTTAGTAATTTCTGTTTCGACATTCCTTTCTGAGTCGTTTATCCTATCAATTTCGTTTCATAAATTTAAGTACGTTGTTAATTGATTAAAATCATTGTCGAGAGTTTTAACTTCTTTTTCTCCTAGAAAATTCGGTAAAACAAAACCTTCTGCTAATCCTTTTAATTTATTCTCATTATTTAAATAGTTAGCTCAATGATTATTGGTTAACTTTATTAAATCGTCTCAATTTATATCTTCTTTTCTTCAATATTTTTTCTGAACCGCTTTATCATAAAAATAGTTTTGTCAGATATTACGGAGTTCTTTGCTTTGGTTAGATAGAATTTTCTGTCAAGATTGAATCGTTTTTTGACAACTCTCTAATTGCTTTTTATCTTTATTTACAGAGGCTAAGAGTTTATTTTTTTCATAATCGCTTAATAGGTCTTTATTTTTCTCTTTATAGTGGAGTTTTAATAATGATAATTCCCAAAATAAAATTCGTTTTCCTTGGGACTTATAAATTTTTCCTTGGGCTTGTTGAGTATGTGATAAAGCGGTTATGGCACCAGCTTTGGGAGTGAATTGTTGTAAAGTGGCGATATCTTCTTCAATCAAATTTAAGTTTAAACCAGTTGGGGTGTTGCTATCATTGTAATCAGTTGTAATATTTTTCCGAAAAATTTCGTTAATAGTGTCTAATTCTTTTTGATAAGCAGCCGCGTTTGCTTTGGCACTACTTTCAATTTCCGTTAATTGGTTTTTTATTGCTGTTTTTTTATTGTAATCAAGTTGGAAAATTCGATATTCAGTTGGTTCAAGTCCCGCACCAACATAAGGCGGAAAATTCTTAATTCGCCTTGCAAAATCCGTTAATTCGTTCAGGGTTCAAACATTATTAGCGCCAGTGGCTAGTTCTGTTAAACTTTCTCCGGCCGATTTTTTTCAACTTTCTTCCTGCCGGACTTTCTCCTCTAAACTTTTTATTTTGTCTTCAATTTTCATTCTATATTCTATGTCTAATTTACCTTCACTTTCTCATTTCATATGATTACCAGTAATCGAATATCCTCGGTTCATATTTTCTCAAATTTTGGCTTTTTCTTTATTTACCACACCAGTATAAGGCGGAAAAATTGGAAGATTTGAGACGGAACGAAAGGAGTTTTTATAAGTGTCAATTTCCTTTTGATAATCTTTTAATTTGGCTAATGTCACACTTTCCGCAGTGGCTTGTTGGAAAAGTCAACTTAATTCTGTGGAGAAAAAATTTTTCCGAAAACCTATCATTAATGGTTCCTCGGCGTATTCGGAGTATGTCTCTAACTCTCTTATTATTGGAATTAGTGCTTGATAATCACTAGAAAACTTCACGGCAAGACTTTTCAACTCCTCAATACTTCTTTCTAATCCCACTGCTGCCCGTAATTTACTAATTTTTTCCTGGTCGGCTCCGATTTTTTGACACGCTCACGCTCATTTGTCGTAGGTATATTTTTTTAACTCTTTTTTAACTTTCTCTTTTATCGTTTCTCGTCCCTCACCTTTTAATAAATTAGGGTCATTTCAAAAATCTTTACTGCTTCAATTATCCTCACTACCAGCCAAAGTCCACCAAGCTGATAATTTTTGGTATTTATCAGCAAATTCGGTTTTTCAGTCCGTTCCATGAATATCTTGGAGAATTTTTTCTCCGATATTAATACTGCTACTGTCCGCAAAAGAAACTTCCCCCCCCTTTATTTTTTGATAAATTGGGTAAGCCTTGGCTAAATCATCCGAAGTTAAATTTCCAGTATTGTAATAAGTTAAATATCCAGCGACTAATTCGGCTCGGTCAAGTAGCGAGTCGGTATTAAGAATATTCTTTAAATTGTCAGAAATCCCGGCCGTAATCCTTAATTCCTCGGGATTTCAATCATCACTATGTATAATATACACATTACTTTCATTAATTTCAAGGGCTTTTTGAATAGTAGTTAATTCTTGTCAAGCAATATCAATATGACTATAAGATAAATTCTCATGGTAAAAAATGTTAACACGTTGTTCCTCAGTTATGTTAGTTCAATCTTGGTCGGCTTTGCCCGTTGAATTTCTCGTTTTCTGAACGGCTTGCTCGCGTTCGACAATATTCTGAACTTTTTCAATTTTTTCTCTTCAAGTGTTTTTATTATAATTTAAAAAGTTAAGTTCTATTTTCCAAGCGATACTATCATTTTCGTTGTATTTTGCTACTCTTATAATATCCAAAACTTTTCCTTTTCAGCGGTCGTTTTCTGTTAAATCATCAACAATATTTTTTAGTAGAGCGTAATTACCAACTACCTCCTTATTTCATGAAAAAGCGTTAAAATTATATCCTTCCGCTTGGTAGGTCGCCTTTATTTCAGTTTTTCCCCCCTCAATAATAACTTGCCGCAGGTTGAGTTTTTCAATATCGGTCGGTAGGTAGCCTCTTTTTTTAAATTCTAAAAGATAGTTAACGGCGTTTTCATCGTTTTTTAATCAAGCGGTTTCTGCTTTACTTTTTAGTTCATTTAAGCAATTAGTTCACTCAGTTCTCTTGCTTTCAGAAATTTTATTTAAATCTTTTTTGTGTTTTTTGGCAATTAAGGCGGAAAATTCCGCTTCTAATTCGGTAATAATTCTTCCTTTTTCGGCAATAGGCAAAAATAAAAATTCCTCATGTGTTTTAATTTTATTAATTATTTTTTTTAAAGTTTCTACATCGGTAATATTTCTAAATTTAAGTGCTCGGACTTGGGAAATAAGAGCGGATAAACTTTGGGTTGAGAATTTAAGTTCCTTGTTGCCGACTGTTAAGGTATAATCATCAAAAATTTCTAAACTATAATTATTTTCGTGTCCTCCGAATACACCTCAATTTTTTTCGACAATATTTCCTTCTTTATCGGTTTTTTTGTTATCTTCGCTAGCAGTGAATTTTATTTGAATTTCGTCTCCTACCTGAATAATTTTGTTTTCTCCGATTTTTAAAGAGGAATGATTATTAAAATCAACAAATTCCTCAATAAGACCAGGGACTTCGGCTCTTACCACACACTTATTTTCTTCCTCGGTCATATTATAATCAGGTTCGAAATTAATTTCTTTGTAAAGCAAATTTAATTCATTAATATTTATATTGCGAGTGTTACCATCTTCCACGATTGACACGATTACTGGTTGAATTTTATAGGTAGCAAAATATTTAGAAGCATGTTTATGTATTTTATCGAGTCCAGTGATTTCTACTGTCAACGGATTAGCCAAATTGCCGTTGACAAATATTTTTTTATGAATACCATCGTTAGTAGTATCAAGCGGAATTTCAATAATCGGAGTTTCGCCAGTTTTTTCCGTTTTTTTCTCGGAAGATTTTTCTATGTTTGCTGTCTCCCAAAATAGTGCTTTGCCTTCGGTTAATACTTTTTTTTGGTCTTTCTCCCTAATTTGGCTGGCAAGCAGAGGAAAATAGGTAAAAAAACTATAGTCTTCTGGTCTATCATCAAATTGGCCTTTTATGAATTGTTGTCAATTTTTTGCACCATCTTGCATCCGATAAACTTCGCTATTTGGAGCGAAAAAACTATATTCTACGATGGGGTCTTGGGTGGCTAAACGATAAAAGAATATTCCTCAGGTCTGAGCGATAGTTTTTTTTAGATTTGAGTCTAATTTATTTTCTTTATTGTTTAACTTTATGCCAAAATTAGCAAAATAGTTTTTAATTTGTTGGACTGAATTATCTAAATCTAATTCGGACAAATTCTCCTCGGAACATAATTTATCACCAATTAAACTAGCAGTGGCTTGCCGAAATTTGACTGCGGTAATATTGGCGGTTCCTTCCGTCAGTTGGGTGTTGTCTAATTGCCGTTGGGTTTGGTTAACCAGTTCAGTCAGTCGGGTTAGATAGTGGTCGGCATCAGTCGGATTTTTGTTAAGAAAAGGACAATTATTTTGGTCTAATAATCAGTCTAATAATAAACGCTGACAAACATCTCTTAAATAAACTTTGCCCGCTTCTCTTTCTTTTATTTTTCCGTCCTCTTCCAGGAATAAAGAATGAGGCAAATCAAGGCCATATTTATCACTTAATTCGTTTTTGAATTTTTCCTGATTTTCGGTATTTTCATTATATTCTTTTAGTTGTTTTTTACCTTCTTCACCTTTGAGACTTCCAACAATATTTTCAATTTTATCAGCAAGTCTCCTAATATTTCCACTTAATTGTACTGAATTATTGTTATCTTCGTCTTTCGCTCTAGTATTTTTCTCGTCTCCTGATTTCGATTGTCACGTGGAAGTCTCTAATCTTAATTTCTTTTTTACTGCCTCAATTTTCTTCTCGACTACTTTTCTTTCATTAATTTGCTCATTTCGGTTGTTTTTTAATCGTTCAACAGACGCCTTTTTACTATCTTCCTCTGGGGTTCTTTTTAAATTCTCCTCAGCAACTTTTATTTGTCGCGTCAAAACCTCAATTTCCCTTGTTAATCTCTTAAATTTCGCAATATCATCACTAATACTACTATTTGTTAATTCTTCTTTTTTAATGTTTTCTAATTGACTATTTTCCGCATCAGTTATCTTTTCAATTTGGCGAAAAAAATTTTCTATTTCCCCTCTTCCGTCAACTACTTGATTAAAAATTTCGAGAGCCTTTTCTAATTTTTTATATAAATCTTCAGAATTAACTGATGAGGACGACGAACCACTGATTATTAAGCCACCAGTAAAGTCGGATTTGAGAGAACGGGGAGCGGAAGCGGATTTTTTGCCTTTCTGGTCGTCTGCTTCGGGTTGGTAAAATTCATCTTCTAACTTTTGACAAAACTCGGGTTCCTGGGTGCCAAGAATTCCACGGACTCGGTTGAGAAAATCATTAATTATGTTCGCGACTGAGTGGTTAGTTTGTTCGGGGGTTTTTTCTTTCTCTGAATTTTTGTTTGTTTTATTTTTTATCATATTTTTGTTATTACTTTTTACTTATATTTATATATCTTTAATTTTATAACACTAAACTTTCCCATATCTGCAAAAAAAAAAAAAAAAAAGCCAGTAAATTACGGGATTGAGGAGGATTTTTTTTAGTAAGTTTTTTTCAATTTGAGATTTATTTTTGGGTCATTTTGTCTAGGGGTTAGTATAGACGAAAATGAAATTGAAGTTAATTAGTTGATAAAAACTTATTTATTATGCCTACTATTAATCAGTTAGTTAAAAATCCGCGGGTGCCAAAACCAAAAAAGACCAAATTATTAGCCTTAAAGGCTAATTGGAATTCACGAAAAAAGAAATATTCTGCTGCCAACAATCCCCAGAAATCAGGGATATGTAAAAAAATAGGAGTTATTAAGCCACGTAAACCTAATTCCGCTAACCGTGCCTATGCTCGAATTGTGCTGAAAAACAAAAAAGAAATTACCGTTTATATTCCCGGTGAAAAACATAATTTACAAGAATATTCATCAGTTTTAATTAGCGGTGGTGGCGCTCAGGATTTACCAGGAGTAAAGTATAGTGTTATTCGCGGTCGGGGTGATGCAGAGGGAGTAAAAGACCGCAAACAAGGCCGCTCTTTATATGGTACGAAAGTTATGAAAAATACTAAACAAAAGTAGTAATAACAAATCAAAAAATAACTTATATTTATGAGTATAGAAATAACAAAAAATCCAGAAAAACATTTAATTAAATTAGACATTGACGGAACTAGCACTAATCCTGACTTTGCCACTTTAAATCAAAAACTAAAAGAAGTTTTACAAAAATTAATAAAACAAGGTCATAAAATCTGCTTTACTACCGGACGGAATTATTTATCAGCCTTACCTTTTTATCAAGAAGTTGGTTTAGATACTTTTTTAGTTACTTATAACGGAGCCTATATTAATAACCCTTCGGACGAAAATAATAAAGAAGTAGTGGTTTTCCATCCTATCAAAAATGAAATAGTAAAAGACATTTTAAACGAACCAATAATTAAAGAAAATATCTGCAATGTCATGATAGACCATGTTGGCGGATTAAAAAAAGATAACCGAATAGATTTAAAAACTATCAGCACTAGTGATGATATCTATTATCGAGAAATATTTTTCAATAATAATTCTTTTGATAAGGTTGCTAAGGAAGAAAATATTTTGCAACTTTTAGGAAAAAAAGATGCTTTACAATTAGTTTTAGAATTTCCATTTCCGAAAGATGAAGGAATGTTTAATGAAATTTTGTTAATTTTGCGAGCAAAATACAGCGATGCCATCACTTTTTATTTTGGTAGTAAGTTAAAAGCCAAAAGTCCCGGAGACAAAATTCTGGTTCCGGACCCCGAAAGAAAAATAATAAAAATCCGTAATAAATTAGCCAGCAAAGGAATGGGAGCAAAATGAGTGGCAACTCAATATAATATTGGTCTGCATAATGTTATTGCTTTTGGTAATGATGTTAATGACATAGAATTAGTGCATAGTGTTGGCAAAGGTATAGTTACAGCCGACAGTAATGACTACTTAAAGACCTATGCTTATGGCATAACCGATTTTGGAATGTTTAATAGTGACGGCGTGGCGAAATATTTAGAAAAATACTTTAAGTTAAAAAAATAAAGTCACAATTACTTTTTAAATAATACAAAACCATCCTTGGTAATTTGGCTATTACTTTTGAGAATTTTTTGGTTAATCCGTTGGCTAGAAAACTTTTTTTTCTTTTTTTCTAAATCAAACAAAGTTAAGTAACCAACCTCAATTCTATTCATTGTCTTTGCTTTCTTTCCTATTTTAACTTTTTTAAAGTTTATCAATAATTCTTCTAATTGATTAAAAGTTTTTAAAAAGTCCGACAATTCTTCCTCTTTTATTTCTAACTGGATTTTTTCGGCTAATTCTTTTATTTTTTTCTTTTGATTAGCTAGAGTATTAGCGTTAGTCATATATAGGTTATTTTTTTCTTTTTTTTCTGAAAATTAGCGAGATAGTAATAAATATTATTAGTCCTAGTTCAGTGCCTAGTATGATTCAGAAGAATTTTTCTCGCTTTTTTTCAGTTAGCTGGGTTTGTAGTTGATTATTTTTTTGCTGGCTAGTGGTTAAGGCTTGCTTGGCAATAGTTAGTTGCTGGATTAATTCTTTTTTTCCTGAAAGGCTTGTTCTAAATTTTTGGCAGCAAGGTTGGCCGTTTCTTGTAATTGCCTCTTTTGCTGTTGAATAATTCGTAATCACTTTTCTAACTCTTCTTTTTCTGTCATAAGTTTTTGGTGTTCGCCTGGAACTTGTTCATTCACGCTCCAATTTTGCTTTTTTCGCTTGCAGTTCGTTAAATTTTCTTGCCAAATCATTCAGATTTTTTTCAACATTATTTAATTCTTGGACTTTGGCTTCTCATTGCTGATATAGTTTGGTTTCTTTTTTAGTCTTTTCTAGTAAAGAAGCATCGAATTTTTTCGTTAGTTTTTTTTGTTCGGTTTGTCAAGTTTCTTTATCATTCTTTCAATTGCTTTCTAGTTGGTTTAAGAGGGTTTAGGCTTCTTTTTTACCCTTAATTTTTTGCTTGGCTAAGTTGAGTAAAGCAGTTTCTAAATCGGTTATTTTTTGTTCCAGTAAAGGCTGAGTGGCTTGAAAGTTATCGCGTTCGGCAGTGATAGGTTGGAGAATCTTTTTCGACCCTTTGCTGATAAAGTTTTTGGTAGTGGTGGACTTGGGTTTGTAAGTCTTTTATTTGACTGTTTTCGGCGGGTTCTTTACTTTCTGCTGGTTGAATATTCAGATTACTTTGCTGATTTTGTCAGTAAAAATAGGCGGCTATTAAGATAATGGTAATGATTATTAATTCTTTGGACATAAGTATTTAGTTTTTATTTATGAAAATTAAGTAGAATATGAAGCATTTCCTCGATTTCCATCATGACTTCCTTGGGTAATTCACCTATTAATTTACCGACTCGTTTTTTATCGACCGAACGAATTTGCTCGGGCAGTATTTTTCCTTTCTTACCCGCCAATTCAATCGGAATATGAAAAGGGATATCCGGCAGAGGAGTAGTGGTTAAAGGAATGATAACTACTCTTTGACCCAGAGTATTTTGCTAATCATTACTCATTACCACGCAAGGGCGAGTTTTATAAATTTCGGTACCCGCAGTTCGACCCAATTTAACTCAGTAAACGGAACGATATTTAATTACTGGCAATTTATTCGCCTTCTTCAATGGCATCTCAGGCTTTCATTTCCCGTTCGTAATTTTTACTAGCGGCTAGTTTTTGGTAAGCAGTTTTTAATGCGGACTGACTAATTTTGCTGGCAGATTGGACTGGTTTCTGGGCGGGATAAATTTCGTAATTTATTCCTCTTTGCTCGCAGATTCTTTTAATTTCTGAGATATGGCTTTTGACAATCAATGATTTTTGGCTTGGCATAATAATAAATTAATTTTATTCGGTCAAATTTCTTTTAACTCCCACTAAGCATTCACAAGACAATTAACAGTAACACACAAATTCAGAATAGTCCGCGATAAAAGGCTTCTTGATTTCAGTAATAGTCAATGGGTTTGTAAGCGGTTTCTTTGGCTTTGTTGGAGTAAGTGTTGAATTGTTGGGTGGCTGAGTCTTCTAGTTGTTTAGTTTTGTTAGCAATTGGAGTTCGGACTTTCCGTTCTCAAACTCCTTCGGCTCATTCTTTAACGGCTGATTTTATTCCCATGATGTTTTATTGATTTTCGTAGGTTTTTTGGTTAAATAGTCAGAGCGATAGGCAACTGAGAGCGAGAATAGTGATAATTGGTCAATAGTTAAAAGAACTAGGTTCTTGATTATCAATTAACTTTAATTCTAACTGGGCGTTTTGGCCTTGGGCTTGACTGAGTTTTTGTTGTAATTCTAATTTTTTTTTATTGGTGGCAATTAGTTTATTTTCTAAGCGGTGAATTTCGTTAACTCCTTCGTTAATATTCAGTTCTAACTCGGTTTCGAGCTCTTGTTTTTTTTGGTAATAATCACCGAAGTCTTTAATTTTTTCCAAGCGGAGTTCGAGGATTTGGTCTTCTAGTTGCTGAATTTTAGTTTTTAATTCGGTGCTGTTTTCTTCCGGGGCTTCAGTGAAGATTTTTTTAGTTTTTAACTCTTCTTCTAGTTCGGTGATTTTGGCTTGGGCGGATTGGAGCGATTGGAGATAGTTTTGAGCCGTGTTTTGGGTAAAAGCGAGGGTTTGTTTTAATTGGGTGATTTGCTCTAAACTTTTTTCTAATTTTGGAAGTTGAGATTTGGCTTGCTCCAAGAGGGCTATTTTGGCTAAATGGCAAGTTTTACAGGCCCGCGGGGGCTGATTAGGAAACTTAATAATTCCTGAGCCATCACCACATTCCGAGCATTTATTTTCAGTTTTCCGACCGGGAAGATAGCGACTGCCGTTTAGTTCACAAGAGGAGCAGTAATCATAGTCTTCTGAGGAAGAAAAGATAAATTTATCGCCGCAACCCGAGCATTCTTTGGTTATTTTTAATTTCGGTGGCTTAATTTCTGAGCCGACCGGCGTTTTGTTATTTATTGTTAGTGGCCTTTTTGTCATAGGTTTTTGGGATATAGACCATAAGGAAAATGGGGTTAAAAAAAGTTCTGATAACTAAAATTAATATATTACACTAAACATGGAAAAAATTCAACTAAACAATATTACTATTAAAGAAAAAAAAGATATAAATTCTAACACTTACTACATCATTGTCAATAACGATAACATAAATGAAGCCTTTTTTTGTTTTGAAAAAGCGTTAACAAAAGGTTGGCAAGACTTAGTAAATAATTGAGAACAAATTAAAGAAGTTGAGATTGAGTATGAGACTAATGAGCGCGGGAATAATAAAGTGGTTAACCTCGAAGTTCTCTAAGGAAAGGTGATTTATTATACAAAATACTTTGTCGGTGAAGTTTACGGTGGAAATTAAGAGCATAACGATGAACCTCTGCTTGGCAATTGGCTAAGAAATTTTTAATTTTGGCTTGACCCTGAAAATCTAACTCCTTTAAATCACTAGTAATAATTTTCGCCGTTTGATGTTTTTCATCTTTGGCTAAACCAATTATCGTGGTAGTTAATCCTAATTCCTTTAAAGCCTGGTTAACTGCTTTTACTTGTTCTTTACTGCCATCCACTATTATTAAATCAGGCATTTCGGGGGGGGAATATTTTTGATAATGAATTAAGCAAGCTTTTTTTAGGCGGGCGAAATCACTAGTTTGTTCGCCTTCTCTCAGTTTATATAATTTACTTTTGGTTCAGTTTTTTTCACCATTAATAAAGACCAAAAAGCCCGCCACGATATCCTGTTTATAAAGATTAGAAACATCCAAACATTCAATATAATTAGGTATCGGAACAGATAAAAAATTACTTATTTCTTCTAGCACTGCTTTTTTATTTACTTGTTGTCTTTGTCAAGCCTGTTGAGCGTTTTCGCGGGCTAATTCCACTATTTTCTTTTTTTTGCCCCGAGTTGGCACTTGGAGAGAAAAGCCAAATTTTTCGCTCAGTAATTCCTCTTCGGCAATTTTTTCCGAAAGATAAAGGACTTGGGGCGGTAAATTATTTTGATAAAATTGATAAAGATAAGTTTGGATAGTATCATTTTTATTTACTCAAATCGGAAAAGCGGCTTCATCCTGAGCCACTAATTTACCATAGCGATAAAGGAAAAGGTAAAAAACAATAATATTTTCTTGGCAATAAATACCGCCAAAATCACAATTTTCTCGGTTTAAAAATTCCACGTTTTGCTGACTAGTAAAAAAATCAATATTATCCAGTATTTTTTTCTCCTTGCGGGCAATTTCAAAAGCTAAATTATTAATATTTTTGGTTAACGACTTTTTAATTTTGGCTTTGATTTCCTGGGTTTTGCCCGCAAAAAACTTTCTTACTCCTTGTTTGATATTTTCATAATAAGCGTTACCTACTTTTTGCCAACAATGACCGGAACACTGGTCAATGGTGTAATAAAAACAAGGCTTTGCTAAATTACCTTTACATTTAGCCAACGGGAATAATCTTTCTAATAACTGTAATATTTCCCGAGCTTTACTGCCGTCAGGAAAAGGACCGAAATATTCGCTTTTTTTCTTGGAGTCAATTTTTCGCACTATTTTATAGCGGGGGTTTTCCTCCTGAGTAATTTCCAGATAAGGATAATAATGGCTATCTTTCAGGAGAATATTGAAACGCGGCTGATGTTTTTTAATAAGGTTTTGTTCTAGGATTAAGGCTTCTTTGACGTTGGCGGTGATAATAATAGTTAAATCGTGAATTTGTTGGCAAAAATAATTAGTCGAAGCAAGAGAAAAATAACTTTTAACCCGGTCTTTTAGGTTTTGGGCTTTGCCAATATAAATAATCCGGTCTTGTTTATCTTTAAATAAATAGCAACCAGGCTGATTGGGTAAGTTGCTAAGTCGGTTTTTTAGGTTATTCATTTATTTATAAATTGTTATAAAGTATATGGACGTGCTAAGCATTGAACTATTTGAAGTAGTATTGTCATTATTTTTTTAGTAGTTATCTTTTTTCTTTGGCGTCTTTATCGAAAGCAAAATCTTCCTATAAGGAAAGTTTACTAACCGCCTCTTTTTTTCTTACTAAACTTCGCTGTCAACCATAATGCCTAACCGAAAAAGTTCCCTAAATAAGAAAAAAATAGTTAGATAATATTCATTTTTTTTAATTCCTCTCTAATTTTATCAGCCGAAAAGTATTGACCTTCGGTTCGTAATTTTTGCCACTTCTTAATTAATAATTTGGTAGCTAAATTGTAAGGAGATAAATTAAATTTAAAACCTAACAGGGTAAGAATAAAATAAAAATCACTTATCGCTATTAAGAAATTTTCGGTTTTTTGCCCTTGATTAATACTTTTATTGAGAAAAGCAATTACCTCTTCCAATAAATAAAGAACTCGAACCGTGTTAAGATTATTTAACAAACTAGTTATTACTTCGGTCGATGTTTGGCTTTCCTTTTCCAGCACCTTTATTTTTTCGGTATAAAGATAAAATTGTAATCGCTTGAAAAGATTTTCTATTTTGTGAATATAATTGACCCCCTGCTGAATTAATTCTTCATTAAAATTTATTACTTGATTATAATGAGTATTTATAATCAAATAGCGTAAAACATTAGCCCCATATTTTTCCTGAAAATGTTTAGCCAAAATAACATTACCGACTGATTTGGACATCTTTTCACTTTGCCAATGAATATGAGCGATATGAAGTCAAACTTTACTTAATTCCTTATTATTGTGGGCTAGATACTGAATTCTTTCGTTTTCGTGATGAGGAAACAATAAGTCATTACCTCCCCCATGAATATCAATAGTTTGATTACCAAATATTTCCTGAATAAATACGGTGCATTCAGTATGTCAACCCGGACGACCTGGCCCCCACGGCGAGTTCCAAACGATTCCTTTTTTAGTCTTTTTTCATAGCAGAAAATCTTTGTTATTTTCTTTATTGGCAGAGGTGATTTCCCGCACCGACTTTAATTTTACTAAGTCTTGTCCGGAAAGTTTACCATACTCACCATTTTCGCCAATCCGAAAAAATACTTCTCCCTCCTGACAATAAGCCGCCTCTTTTGCTAATAAAGAAGCAATGAAAGTTTGGATTTGCGGAATATAATCAGTTACCCGCGGTAAATAATTAGGGAAGGAAATATTATAGCGAATTAAATTAGCCAAATAGGCCTTGGTGTAATGATTACTAATTTCTTTTTCACTCTTTTTTTCTTTTTCCGCTTTGGCAATTATTTTATCGTCAATGTCAGTGATATTTTGCACGTAATTTACCTTTACTCCTAAATGGCGGAGTAAACGCTGCAAAATATCAAAAATAATTATTGGTCGCAAATTACCTAAATGAATATGGTCGTAAACAGTCGGACCGCACAAATAAACATTAATAGTTGACTGCGAATTAAGATTTAGTTTAGTAATTTTGTTTTCCAGGCTATTAAATAATTGTAGTTCCATTAGATTATGCTAGTCTCATTAAATCCGCTTTGATTAATTGCTGAAACTTGGGTCGCATATGTTTTCAATTAACTAATTCCATGCTAAAAGGTAAATTGCTTTCTTCCAGTTCCTCACGAATATCGCTGATAATGGAAAGGGGAATATCCTCTTGGTAGCAAATATCCAAGTCGGAAAACTGGCGAGCAGTTCCTTTGACTCGGGAGCCATAAGCATAAAAAGTATAAGGATACTTGCTTAGTATTTGTTGGATTATT